CTGTCTCGCCAGCGAGACAGAAAAATTCTGTTTCTCGCCGGGCGAGACAGTAAACTTTTTCTGTTTTGCACTATGGAACAGTGGAATACTCAATGCGCGGTACACGAGTCTAACTGTCATTCCCACCCTCAACAGGAAGTTTCTGAGAATATTATCTGATTATTCTTAAGGATAACCTGACGGATCCTCAATGATTACCAATGCAATGGTAAACGCTGACATTCACAAGCAGCAGAGTATCAGACGTCAATTCAGATCTCGACACGCGTTAACGCGATAAACGCGACGCGGGAGAAGTAACTATTCTTACGAAGAACTGGATAGACTAACAGCAGAGCAGCGTTAACATTGAAGCCATTTACAAGTCCTTTCATACGATCTATTATCAGCCAAGCATGAAGGGATCGTAAGTAAAAATCTATCTTATCCTAAAGTATCCCTGCTCCTCTATAAAAGAATGAGTCTGAATACATTTGGAGGGGGATCTGTAGGGCGCTCAAAAATGCCTATAGATATCCAAGCATAAGAAGATCGCACTCAAAAATTCACAGAAAGGATTTCATACTGTGTTTGGAAAAATCAAAACAAGTATGAACTTGGTCTCGCCAGGAGACGTCTTTTGCCTGTCTCGCCAGCGAGACGGTCTTTGCTTGTCTCGCCAGGCGAGACAGTCTTTGCTTGTCTCGCCAGTAAGACAGTGTTGAAATAGGTCCAAAACTACATTTGTAACTGCCCTACACGTGTCCATTAACTGGCCAAGCGGACGTGGAACATCATGGGCGAAAATTCACGTGGATAACTGGCAAAATAACGGGAGTGTTGAAACGTCGACGGAGAACAGTTCAGCCGAAATGTATTCTTATGATTTACTGTCTCGCCTGATCAGAAATACTGTCTCGCGTGTCGACTGCTGTCCGTGTGACAGTTAAACACTGTTCGCCGTACTGACTTCCAATCCCAACCAACCTTAACTAATCCTCCAGGCACTCGACCGAGATGTTAGAGCTTTTCCAGAGCGAGAGAGCGAGAGATTTCGCGGTTCTTTTCTTGACCCCCAACGCTTGAAATTAAGTCTTTGACTTGATTTAAGCAAGCAAGACTTATCTTACTTCCGATAGATATCGTTTCAATTTCTACTTCGATAACGAAGTAGAATCATATAAGGCCCCTCTTCACGATCTGTGAATTCGGCGTCCGTCCACGAACCAAAGGTCTCCCGCGGCAGCAGGCCAAAGTCCCACGAAAACCGAGAATCTGATAACGATTTTCTGTTTGATTTTCTCAAGAGTTTGTAATTTTTGATTTGTTGTGTAGAAAAATTCTCTATAAAAAGATTATTACTTCGAATTTGTTGTAATCGAACAAAGTTATAATGAATTCCACAGCAGCGACTTTTGAACCAAACATATATCAGAAAAAGTGTAGGGGTTTTAATGTAAATTTTATTAGAGGGTTTTATTAGCAAAAATGGCATTTATAAATACCCTAAAACCCTACCCAACTACTTAATTCTGTCAGCCACTTCTCCTCTTTCCCGTCTTTGTTTCGCCTCTCACAAAAAAAAGGAGAACCAGACAACAACTTCGGAGGATAGTACCTGGGAAGAAACAAATCGGGGATCACTTTTATCTAATCCTCATCTTAGCATCACTAATTAATATTGCCAACATGCTTACACAATGCATAAGAGGAGCAATCTTAATTGATCTTTTTGTCTCTTTGTGTAGATCAGTCATGATCCAACCTAGTTTTTAATAATAATAATAATACTTTTGTTGTAATACTCCAACCCTTGAGAGAGTGATGTGATTAGTATTGATAGATTTGATTAGAATACTCATACCATCAAGATGTATCTTCTTTTTAGAAACCCAACTCTTAGAAACTCCAAAGTTAAGCATGCTTGACCTGGAGAAATCCTAGGATGAGTGACCTCCTGGGAAGTTTTCTAATGAGCGCGTGAGTGAGGACAAAATGTGCTGAAAAGACATGTGGTGGTTTGTAAGGCCAGTCCATCAGATCTAATAGCGTACCGACTCCGGGATTGCGAGACGGAGAGTTACAAATGGTATCAGAGCAAAACCAACCGGAAATTGTGAGAGCTAAGTGTTATGCAACGCAAAGTGTTACGTCGAGAGGATAGGAGACACCTCTTGAGGCCATATGAGCCACCTCTAGAATCTCACACGGATGGTACAGTCTTGGATGATATGATTTGACGCAACGAGGACGTTGCGAGTTTAAGTGGGAGAGTTTGTAATACTCCAACCCTTGAGAGGATGATGTGATTAGTATTAATAGATTTGATTGGAATACTCATACCACCAAGATGCATCTTTTTTTCGGGAATCCAAACTCCAAAGTTAAGCATGTTTGCACTGGAGATATTCTAATGATGGGTACCCCCTGGGAGTTTCCAGGGAGCACGTGAGTGAGGAGAAAACGTGTTGAAAAGACATATGGTGGTTTGTGAGGCCAGTTCGTCAGATTTAATAGCGTACCGACTCCGGGATTCCGGGGCGGGGCGTTACATTTATTATGTACGCAATACACCAACCTAAGACCTAGATATTCGACCTCGCTACCTCAACTTCAACTTTTAGATTTTTTATAGATGATGCTGACAATGATACTCCTATTTAACCAGTATTATAAAATAAATATTAATCATGCATTTAATTTCCTTGGTTGAAGGCATTCTGATGCGTAATTGTTTAGATAGAAGAAAATAAAATAAAATAAAGGTATAGTTATAAGTTGGTAGGCTATGAGTGGAGGGCATATAATAGTATTGATTATTGTTTATACTTATTCTTTAGGGGTTTCGAGTGGCACCAAGGAGGCATCGTGAGTGGTATTTCGGTTGTCCTTCGAGTTTGGGGTAAGTGGTGAATTTGTACATTATTCGCTGCGTATTTTCATATAAAATTTTATTAACTATATGTAAGTTTTTTCTGATGGAATATATTCTTTTGTATGGTTGCTCTCATACTAATTGTTGATTGGATTAATGCACGTGGTTATTTGGTATAAGCCTATACTTATTTTCTTTATCAATTGTTATTATTTTCTTTGTCAATTGTTATGTCTTTTCATATAGTAGTAGGTTGAGATGCATATGTGGTTAATTGATTTCACTATTGGTTGGCCTTGGCAATTTTGTATAATGTATTTAGTTTTACGGTCTTCGTTTAATTTTCTTAGAGCATATGCATCTTAGGTCAATATACCGGTATATGTCGGATATAAGCAAGTTATTACAACACAGCTCAATGTGCCTCTATGAGGTTTTTGTTTTAGCACTAAGAGCCCAAGTTTGGGCCTCACCATCCCGACCACGAGCTATATAATAGTGGGGTTTGCCAAGTCAACTGGAGTATCAAAGTGTTGACCGCATTGAGACGTGACTTGCTTATTTCCATTGCATGTATATATTTTGAAATGTTGCATTATAATTTTTACTATTTTAGTATTTTGTTTATCAAGTCAATTTATTTTTAGTTTTGCAAAACCAGTGTCTAATATATGAATTTATCCACTTACTGAGTTGTGAACTCATTGTGTTGTTTTCATTCTTTTTAGAGACCCGAGATTAGGTGGAATTAAGGATTTGTCTAATTCTTTGAACAGAGCAAAGAATATAATTCGAGATTGTTATTGTTTTCTAGGTGAAGGTTAAATAAAGTCCTTGATGTTTAGTTGATAAATTGAGAGTTTTTTAATAATGAGATTCTCTCCTTTAGGTCAAGTTTTATTTCAAGTTGAGGAATATTTATTTTTATCAAGTTGATGAATATTTTCAAGTTGATTACAGAGAATATTTATTGTTAGTTTTAGCTCGATGAAGAGTTTATTTTGATGGTCTTTTAATGAATGCATATTTTGAAGGATTTTTCACAGGTTTAGTCCGGCTCCAATATTCCTTCTAGGTTTGGAATTTGGGATTGTGACATTAGATTAGTGGGAGACAGTGTCATCGGCGGAGTTAGTGGGAAAATTAGTGGGTTTAAGTGGAGAGATTAGGAGGTGTTTGTTAACTTGCAAGTGAGTTGAAAGTATAAAAGTGACTTTTTTTAGTGGGAAAACACATCCGAGTCAGCATACAAATGACATATATTGTTTGTTTATAAAAACAAGTTATTGTTGAAAGTAGAAAAGTGAGGATAATGTGGTAACATTATTTTATTTATTTATATATTAAAAAACCATGTTTTTATTTAAATCGCTTCCCATCTCTATTTACCATTTGAACCATATCCAGGACCGTCATCAAGTAGTCATAAATAGTAATTTAACAAAATGAATAAATTCTAAACATATGTACCCAAAACAAAACAATAATCATGGATAGTTCTAGTATAATCTCACTTATAAAATTTTAGCGAAAAAGTCCTTGGTATTATTAGCATTATAATCTTTTTTTAATGCTAGCAAATGGGGATGAGAGAATCACAAAGAACACCCAAGGTACAAAATGTAAATAACCCAATTATTTATCTTCAATGAAAACAAATATGATATATTAGTTATTATAATATTTTTAATATAATGTTGAAGATGAAACAAATCTGACATATTAGTTATTATAATACTTTTAATATAATGTGGTCTCCATTTTTCACTTTCATGGCTCACTTCTGCACTTTTTTAGGGGATGTTGAACTTGCAAAAAAAACCTGATGTGGACTATTTATTGGATCTCACTTTCACTATCACTTTCAATAAAACAAACAAGTGAAATCTCAAAAATAAGTAACTTTCATACTTACAATTTTCACTTACAACTAAACAAACACCCCCTTAGTGGAGAATATTGCCGTTTAGTTGCTTTAGCTAACGTTAAGTAGTTAAAGTTTTGACAATAAAGTCGCAGAGCACGGCAAAAAAATGAAGCTACAGCACTACAAGCAACCGATAACGAATTTTCAGTATCAATATTGGCAGGCATGACTCTTTTACTCTTCCTTTACCATCAATATTTATTAGCAGTTTCCTCTTGTCCCACATAAATCCTCTAAGGTGCCCTAGAATTTCCTAATTTTTTTTGACAATATGCTCAAGTTCTATCTCTTTACACTCTTTTAAGTCCTTTCTCCTTTACAAAATTCTTCATCTTGATGCCCAGATGGAAAAAGATTGGATAGCAATATGTCGTCCAAAATTAAATGAATCGTTTACCATACATGAACTCAAAAATTAATCAAAGCATATACAATTTTTTGTAACTTGCTTCAATCTAATTTCTACAACCAAATTCGACGGTTACTGGAATTTGCTTGAAGATTGCTTGAATGTAGATTATATCTATATTCTATACCTTGTTCATCTTCTTTGAAAGTTGAGCACCTTCATAGAGAATCCAAACAATGAAGCAAAAAGCAAAGGAAATGCGACAACCACAACTGCAACGACTCCTAAAAAGTTATGCTTGAATCCGAAATAGTCTGTTAGGAACTCAGACACAACCTCTCCAGTTTCAAGTTTCTCCTGTACATCTCCAAACTGTGATGCAACTAGTCCATACAAAGTCCATGAAACAGGGCAGATCCAGTAGTACCATCTCCACCATATAGGAATCATCTAAGAAAGAAAAAGATTATATTCAGAATATAATTATTACATTGGGTACTGAAGTTGGAAATATTCCGACACATACGTCGGGTAAGCAGTCTCAAAAAATAATTGGATATACAAGTAAATAATTCATGTAATTTATCCAACAATTAAATTTTAAAGTTTATATATTGCAAATTAATGCAAAGATTTTCATTAGTTTCACATGCACCAAAGAATGCATCCACAAACAATACATCAAACATGGGTACATACAGAAACATACTCCATATGCATACAAGAACATACACCAACATAAAAACAGATGCAACATGCACGCACACATGTATGCACAAACACGCTTCTATACGTGCTCAAGAAGAAAAAGTAATATTACTATCTTTAGTAAATGTTTTGTTATTTTTCAAGTAATTAAAACTTTTTTTCAAGTAATGTAGGCTAAGATCACACAATTGTTTTTAGCTTGAATAAAATCAGGGAAGTTTTTGAGAAAAATGTCTGAGTATAAATAATAGGTTTAGGAGTCAAAACTTACCGTTCGAGGGATAATAAATCCAGAGAATAGATTCCACAATGAATAAAGCGATGAGGAAACTATTGACGAGATGCTCTGGTTAGGCGTCAAGCCTATTGCCATCATTCCGTAAAATGTGAAGTATAACAGCGTAAAATACATGAAGAACAGATACCAAAAGAATTTGGCAACTGTCCATTCAAATCCAATCATTGCATATACTATAACACCATACATCAAAGCCTGAACAAAGACATATGGAAGCTCGATCGCAATCTGCAAGAAAGAATGTAATATGTATTAAATGCCAAAAATGTAGAAGCTATATAGAAATAAGAAAATTTTATCTGTTAAGATAACTACTTGTGCAAACGAGTATGGAAAAGCTGAATACATTCCGGCTGCTCTCTCTCTGTAAAATACGGTCCTTTCTACAGAAACGACGGGTTGTACAGATGATGCATTTTTAACCCCGATGAAAAGAACAGAGGCATACATGGATCCCATTGCATTGAACAAATCTTGGTACCTATTCCTGAATAGAAAAGTTTTATCAGCATATATAGGATTAGGGAATAATCGCGCATAGACCCCTGTACTATCACCCAATAGAGAATAGTACCACTGTACCCACTAGTAATTTTTGTGACTCTTTTACCTTTCAGAGGTCTATTTGTCAAAAAACAATTTTCTCTTTCTCTAAAGGTAAAAGATTCCAAAAAATTACATTCAGGGGGTCTACCAACAATTGGGTGATACACAGCGGGGTGGATGCACGCTTAACCCATGGAGATATTGAGAAGTTTTAGTACAACATAAACTAAGTGTATAGCATACCTTTTGGTTCCAAGATCCCAAAATATTGTTCCAAATAGCAAAGCTATGACAAATGTGAAGAAAAATCTCACTGCAACATATGGAGGATTCCTCCAATATGATAAGTTTTGTTTCCATAGGCAAGCGAAGCATTGTGTGTAAAAAGACTGCGAGTATTGGGTAGGGAGCAATAAATCTCTTGAACCGGGTGCAGGAGAGCTGAGTTCTTTAATCAATTCTTTGTTCCTCCTGTGATAAAAATTTCAAGTAATGGTTTGAGAAATTGTAGAAGCATATACGAACAGTTCGATGATTGAACGTTTTACTCACTGAAACAACAAAGAGGTCTTGTATACATCAGTAAAATTGATACTAAGTAATTTTTCTTGAGCTAATGTGGTAGCTTCCAACATCCATGTTGCAGGATTATATCCATCTTTTATCTTGCTGACTCCTTGAATTTCCTAAAGAAATGGCAAAATCAAAATGTTTAGTCAATTATAATACAAGTGATTTTCTTAGTACATGAGAAAATTTTCTTGCTTGCTCACCTCAAAATACTTAATCAAATGACAAGAATGGTGTCCTAGAGGACCCACATATATCTCCTCTCCTCCTCTCTTCATTAGGAAGAGCTGCCAATAGGAAAGGAATTAGATAAGTCATTGCAATCAGGCATCCAAAAGTGTATAATTTGAATAGGGTTAATTGCGAGAGACTGCCTGTAGTCTCGTTATTTTGAACTTACATTCGCTAGTTTTATTGTTGCAAACCCCCGAGTGAATTTTTTTCCCACCCTTTTCAGGGAGTTTATTTGCAACAATAGATTTTCACTCAAGGGTCTATCTGCAACTATAGAACTACAGGGTAGTAAGTTCAATTTTGGCGATAGCACATGGGGTTTATTTGAATATTCCTTTACCTCATCAAAAGCTTCAAATATGTTAATACTAGGCTGATGTATAGTACAAACAACTGTTCTTCCAGTGTCTACAGTGTTTCTCACAGTTCTCATAACAATGGCAGCAGCTCGTGCATCGAGTCCTGATGTAGGCTCATCCATGAATATTATCGAAGGGTTGGCAACAAGCTCCACTGCAATAGTAAGTCTCTTGCGTTGCTCAGTAGATAACCCGTTAACTCCAGGCAATCCAACAAGGGCTTCTCTAAGTGGTTTCAGCTCTACGAGCTCCATGACCTCTTCGATAAACATCTGCATTCATCAGTTACATTCATCAGTGTCGAGGAAAAGATAAAGAATTAAAGAAACGTAAGAAGGCAATACTCTAGAGAGATAAAATATAACATTTTGTAAACTACACCAAGGAATAGTTATAGAGAAGGAAAACATGACATTTAACGCAAGTCAATAATTGAAAAAGAAGTTTATTTTTAGGGTAAATTTCAGCAAACCCCCACAATGAAAATAACTTTGGATGTTTTTCACTTAAACCCCATTTAGTTCTGTCAGAAAACACCAGTTCAAACGCATAGTTTTCTGACATAACTAACCTTTCTTGTTTCTGAATTAACTTCAGAAGGCAACCGAAGCCATGAAGAGTACACAAGAGACTCATACACTGTCACATGAGGAGAGTGGATATCATTTTGTTCACAATATCCTGATACTCTTGCAAATGTTTCTTGTTTCTTCGGATATCCATTTATGCAAATGTTTCCCTCTATATATCCACCTGTTTTTCTCCCGGCCAACACATCCATTAGTGTAGTTTTACCTGCACCGCTAACCCCCATTAGAGCTGTGAGTACTCCTGGTCTAAATGACCCGCTAATGCCTTTCAGAAGCTCGAGTCTTGCTTGGTCTCCAGTTTGTGCTTTCATTTCCTAAATTCATTCAATAAGTTCAATTCATCATTAGAGCAAGAAAATGACATTTTACCTTTGCAGCTGTGTTTGTTAATAACTTACTTGTGGCATGTCCACTGAGTATCTGATATCTTCGAATGTGACAGAAAGTGGTGCAAATGGAAGGACCATTCCCTTCTTAATCTGATTAGAAGGCGATGAACCTGACATGATATCTTTTCAGTATTACAATCGAAAACTGTAATGTAAAAGGTTTCTTTGTTGTTCTTGTAGGATTAGGCCAAATTTTAAAAATATATATATATATAATGGGTGCAGACTTACTTCTCAGTGAAGAGTGAACATTGGGATTGTTTTCTCTCGATGATGGCTCTGATATTTCACCTGTTATATTGGCATTCTTTTCCTTCAACGTCTCTTCTGACATAGCTTGCTGAGCATTCCCATAGGCTGCATGCAAATTAGTCCCCACTATTATTTTATTTGTTCCTCAAAAATAAATATTTTTCAGGTATGAAATTAGGTGGTTCGCCACTTACGACTGAGATACGTGAGAGCCACAGTGAAAAGAGAATTGAACAGAAAAATATATCCAAGCAATGCACCCACACCAATCCAATACCACTTTGCTTCAGGAAAAATTCCATGATCTTCTAAGACTCTCGCTCCTAATGTCTCCATTGATCCTGGAAGAATCTGCAGCATGATAGAATGAGAAACATGTATGATAACTTTAATTCTACAACTAAGAATATGTCTCTCAATGTTGAATCGATTTCGTCTCCTTACATGGCTCCAGCTTTTGCCAAGGAATTCATTTGCCGATACTGCATTTTGTGCGTACATCAAAGGTGATGACCAGTATCCCCATATCCACCATTTCTTCACATCATCTGTCAAATATAAAAATAAAGTGTGTTTTAGCTTGTTTAAACCTGTGATAGACGACAGAAACCTATTTTGTTCATGTTTTCAGTAGCTTACCTCTTCCTATAACGAATCCACCGAGCACCATAATCATAAGAAGTGCAAAAGATCCAACAGTGTTTGCGATGATCATTTGTCGAGTCAATCCAGCAATGAACCGAAAAAGACCTGATGCCATTTGATTGATAAGTAGGAAGACCAGAAACTGTCTAAAGAACCTGAAAAGTTGAACATAATATAATTATTACTTTCAAAAACAATCTAGGGTTAATTGCAATAGACCTCCTGCACAATCGCCAAATTTAACTTACTACCCCTGTAGTTCTATTGTTGCAGATAGATCCCCTGAAAGTATTCTATTGTTGCAGATAGGCCCCTGAGTGAAGATTTCTTGTTGCAGATTGACCCCCTGAAAAGGGTCAAAATATATTCACTCAGGGGGTCTATCTGCAACGGTAGAACTATAGAGGTACTAATTCAATCTGAAGATAATACAGGGGTTCTACACACAATTAACCCAAAAATCTAGATTGATGTTATCAGCTTTTCTTACCTTTCGACGTTTGGATCAAATCCTATGACATAGTAAGTCATGAACACCCACATTGCAACTTCTACTAAAGCTATGGGAATCTTGGTGATGCATTTCGGTATGGAATACACCCATGCTGGATAAAAGAGGAGATCTCTTTGCTTGAAGAAAACTGGTAGTTTCAAAATAGTCATCGGTAGCTCTGAGAGCTCATTGAACAAAATTCTGATTACCGAAAAGAAGAGCGCGCCCATATAAATCCTCCCATTGCTTACTGAATCACGATGCATATCAGTTCTGATAAATGCAGTGATCGCAAGCTGAGTTGCCTTAAAAATGTAGACAAAGGAGTTCCTCTTCATTAGTAATAGTTCTCTCTCAAAAAGTGCTTTGAACAGCTCTTTCATGCTAACACCGTATCTCGAAGTTTTTAAGGCAGCAGGATGGCTCTTTTTCTTATCATATGGGACCGAGAGCTCGTTTTTTATATCCTTGCCAATGTGGAATGATTCAAATGCATTTGCAAACTCTATGACAGGTATAAACCGATAAGGCTCATTACGTGCCCAATACTGTTCTTGATCTTTCCTTGAAGTCACCTATAAAAATAAAGGGGTTTCATGTATCATTTAAATGAAGAAGGATTATCTTGTGGGTTATTTGCATATAGTTCCCCTGCAGCATCGTTGTTTTGAACTTACTATTCCTGTAGTTTCATTGTTGCGAATAGGCCTTCAGGATTTCTTTTTATTTATTTATTTATTGTGACTGGTGAAATTTTGGCAGACTTTGAACCTTCCTGAAAGTGATCTATCTGATTGTAACAGAGTCAAAAAATTTTAACCTGGAGCATCTATCCGCAACAATGAAACTAAAGGATAGTAAGTTTAAAACAAGGGTACTACAATGCGCCTATGTGCAATTAACTTTTTTTTTATTTTGCATGAGTTATGAATTTGAATGGCCTACTTCTTGTAAGAAGTCGGCTACCCCTTTCCTCTCGGGGCATTGGAACCCCATGTACTCAAAGAACTCAAGCACATGTTCGCGGGGACCTTGATATACAATAAGGCCATCAGAGAGAAGGATAATGTCGTCAAAGAGGTCATATGTCTCTGGTGCAGGCTGGAGGAGGGAGATAACTGCTGTTCCTCCGAGTATGTGAATGGATTGCCTGAGTGAATTGACAATCTGAAATGTCGTTGAGCTGTCAAGGCCGGTGGATATTTCATCCATGAATACTGCTCTTGCCGGTCCGACAAGCATCTCACCTAAATTGTGTGAAGAGACAACATTAGCATACATGAAAGTTAAAGGAAGCAAGGAAGCACAGGCAGAACAATATCTTAAAGTCTTTTACATGCGGCTTTAGCAATATTTTCATGGCCAGAAAACTTGATTATTTTATGCATTAGTATTTTTGTTCCTGAAAAATCTGCTTTAGGTGCAGGCACAATAGGATTGGAATCTTGGTTCCTAAAGTGTCAAAGGACCTTGTTATTGCACCAAAACTCCAAAAAGTTATGGTGAAGGTTGAAGGTTATTATTTTATACCGTAGCATTGCCCCCCAACCACCCCCCGCAGCCCGTCAGGCCGAAAGCTGTTCCTATGGGTTGCAAAGTAGACTCACACGGCGGTGTCAAAACTTTTACAATCCATATTAAATTCATATATAGGTGGTAAAAACTGAACCTGATCACTCTGGTACAATGTCAAAGGTCCCTACAATTGCACCATGAAATTTAAGGTTGTGGTAGGGAAGGGACCTATGACAAAGTGCATCGAAATTCTGATGACACGATGAAGAGGTTAAGATTTATAATTTTAACATATGATACTACCTGTTGTAACACGCTTCTTCTGCCCTCCGGAGATACCTCTTCTCATCTGATCTCCTACCATAGTATCGGCACAGATGTCAAGCCCTAGTATCTGTCATTACCAAACTAACTAAATCAATCAAACAATCAATCAATCAACAAAAGCAAAGGTGTCCTTAGGTTCTAACTTTTTAAAAGGTAATCTCAATCTAATAAGTGCTAAATTTGAATATGCACTCATTTGAATGAACTGAAACGCATACCTTTAATATGTAATCAGTGACTACATCGATTTGCTGTCCTGGCACCGAAGCTGCCTGATTTATTCAAAACCGAAAGAAATATATCAGTATCTTATGTTTGCAAGAGAAGTTATTTACATTTGACAGTGGTATTTAAATGTCTAAGGCTCACCTTCATGAATACATCGATGTCAGGGTCTGGTCTGATATTTGCTGCTTTCTCTCTTCTTAATAGCTCAGTAAGCATGTCTGTATTTCCCTCCCCATAAGACATGTTTATTTCTATTCAAATCATATGAAATTATCTTAAAGTAACATATACCGAAATGAGACATGTTATGCCTACCATATCGTGTACCAACTCCCTGGCATCGAGCAGAGAAGGCTAAAGTTTCACGTACTGTGAGCTCTCCTATATGAAGATCATGCTGACCGATATAAGCGGCTGTTCTCTGGAGTACAAACTCATCACTTCCATGACCATTGTACGTTACTTTTCCTGAAACCTGTAGATCTAGGTATGATTAGTTCAATCACCATGAGATCGATGTACAAACGGATTTAAAAAGTTTTATATATGAATGTCTAACCTTTAAATCTGACCCCAATTTCCCTGCCAATGTCAATAAGAAGGTAGTTTTTCCTGAACCCGGAGGACCTAAAAGCAAGGTCATCCTAAAAATTGCGCAAATAGAACCAATTATTCACATTGCCAATAAAAATTTACAGTGACTAAATATTATCTTTCACCAAGAAATTACCTTTGAGGCTTGACAATCCCACTAATATTACTAAGCACCAATAACGGCTTCTTCCTACTCGGCAAAATATGAAGGTAATTTCCAAAAGCCTGATCAAGAAAATAAAATCGTATCAGTATAGAGTTGTAAGCACAATTGAAAATTTTTCAAAATGTCAAGTACCAACTTACCTCCAATACATTGATCACAGAATTAAGAACCGTGGGCAATCCCCTATTGCCAACATGAATCTCTGCTTCAACATTCAAGTTCTCATACCTCACCTCGATCATAGGAATATCGATTCCAACTCTGCGTATAAACAATAATAACACAACTAAAATTACACAAGAATGCAAACGTCAGCAAATTAAAAAAAAAATCACAGTTTTGATGATTACCGATCAATTCGTTCCCTTAACTTCTGCAAGAACTTCTCATTGTCCTCCTCTGCAACTCTAATCAATCTCTCCATCATCTTCTTCCTCTCTTCATACCCGAGGTTCTTGATCTCAACTTCTTTCATCCCTCCCTCTACATCGGTGACCATTAATCCTTTCTTCAGTCGATCACACGTTGGTAACCTCTCTAAAGAAGCCCACTTTAATGCCTCTTCATCATCTTCATCTTTTGAAGATCTTGAGAATATTTCATCCTTTTTATTCCACAATGATGAATTGTTTGCTCGATAGATATCGCCCATCTCCATTGAAATCTCTCAAAAAGCTTGTTCAATGGCTTCTCGTTTTTGGGAGAAAACTGAACCCACGTGTTTACGCGACTAGAGAAGCAAACAGATTTATAAAGAGTTCAGAGTTTCAAATGGAAACAGAGCTGTTATTATACTGGAATACCTGGCACATGACAACTTATACCTTAAGGGGTTGGGATTCAGTGGGCAATACTGAACACGCGGAGTTCTTGAAAATTTGGGCTAGAAAGCTGTCCATGTCAGCATTAGTGGTGGGCCTGTTAAGAGTCCTGGTACAAATATCTGTGAACCGTGTTTAGCATAGTTCATAGGGTCCAGAATCAAGAAGTTCTTCCCACCAAAATCAGGTTGACGCGGGGTTAATGGATGGTGTAATTTTTTTTTTTTTTTTTGAAAAGGTGGTTGGTGTAATTTTGGGTTTAATGGATGGTGTAATTTTTTTTTTTTTTTTTGAAAAGGTGGTTGGTGTAATTTTGGGTAAGTGGGATAATTTATGTTGTTATTCATTGGGGTTTTACTTTAAGGTACCGTTTGGCAAATGGTTAAGTTAACCCCTCTATTTTCATGCCATATATGGAATGGTGTGTTGGATTGGCTCAAAAGTAGATGGAAATCCTGTAATTGGAACCAATGTGTGCACTGGTTCTCTACCTGTTTGAGAGGTACGGGTTTAACTCAAAAGCTTAAGAAAATGGCTATGGTCACTACAGTTTCCATTTTGTGGAGAGAAGGGAATATGAGACTGTTCCAAGAGAAAAGCAAAGGTGCGGATGCAGTGATCAAAGAAATCAAAATGGAGATATTGTATATAGTTCTCAATAGCCCTGAATGTGTAAGTTGTAATCTCTGTTAAGGGGGTTTATAGTTTTCTTTTTGTTTGTTACTCAGTTTGCTAATCTGAGTCACTTGTGGTGTACTAAAACTTTCACATTTTGGTAGTGAATAAAATTTTTCATTCACCAAAAAAAAAAGTTAACCCCTCTAGAGGGGTTAAAATGAGGGGTTTACTAATACTCCTATTTAGATGGAATAAGAGTTAACACTTCTAATTATAAAGAAAATAGTCAAAATCATTGTTATTCCCAAACACTAAAACTGATCATAAAGGCTAAAATAAAACTTATTTAACGGGTTAATAATTTAGTCATTCGGATTATCAAATGGGCTAAGTACATTAATCATTCTCTTTAACCCCTTCATTAACTTTTTGCCAAACGGGGCCTAAGGTTTTATTAATTGGGACAATGATTGGGACAATTACCCTCACTTTTCCCATTTCTATACAAACTTTTTGTCTCGACTTCCAAAAATTACTCAATTCTTAACTTTGGACAATTATGAGGAAAGTAAGATAATTTTGAAGCACTAATTTATTAAACATCTAATATATGTAAATTGTATTATAATATATAATATATCTTAATTATATTATATTATAAAATTCTATTATAATGTAAGATAATAAAATATTATATAATATTATCTAATATAACATTATTATATATCATTATTACATATTGGTTAATAATATTTCATGTATTATAATATTAGTATTATATAATTATAATATTACTTTATATTATTTAGTATATATTTTATTAGTTAGAATAAAAATATTATTGTAGTATTTTTATGATATAAAATATTGTATTATAATATAGTGTTTATATATTTAATATAATAATATATTAATTATATTATAATATATTTTATTATATTATAATTTACTATTTTATTAATAGTATATTATGGTTATTATAAATATTATATTTTAATGAGGAGTCATGTCATCAATTATTCTATTTAAATTATAGTAATTATCATAAAATAAAATATTATATTAAATTAAACAAAATAATATAATATTTGATTAAACATTATATTATTAAAATATTATATTAAATATATTATTTGTATATTATATAATATATCATATTATTATAACATATTATATTATATTAATTAATAACATTAAATATAGTTATAATTAATTAGTAATTATAATATAATATATTATAGTTTAGTATAAAGTAAAATAATGTATTACATTATAATAACATACCAAATAATATACTAAACCAATTAGGTTAATTAATTTAGACTTAATTGATAGTTAAATATTGTACTTTAATAAGGTATCACATCATCAATTATCCCACATGAATTGTCAAATCAAAACTTCAAATTGTCTCATTATCCTAAGACCAACTCCAGCAGGGGATAATTGAAATTCACTTTATCCCCTGCCACATCATATTATTCTCCTATTACATCATCAATTGTCCCCATTATCACATGCACTCCACAGCAGGGGACAATTCAAAAAATAATTCACTTTTCTATTTCTCCACATATATTTATAATATTTTGTTTTTTCATATATGATAGTAATTAATATTATCACACATATATATTAAAATATAAATTATTCATATTCATTTAATTTTGATATTTATCAAATATTATTATAATATTAAAAACACAACAAGACATGATTTTATTGATGATGATAAATTAACCGTACAATTTATTAAAAACACACAAAACACACTAAAAATTGATAAAATTAAAACCGAAAGTTGAAAATTAAGTTGTGGTTGCTCCAAACTTTTGCCAAATGTGCTCAACAAGATCCTCCTTCAATTGAAGATGTTTGGCTCGATCTCGGAGTTCAAATCTAGTATGAATATCTGATTCAGACCTACCTTGAACATGAACTTCAAATTAGATGGCATCATAAACGGCATCTGGAAATTGGATGACATGTTTTGAAGATTTTCTGGACGTTGGTTATTGGAATTTTGAAGTTGGTTAGGATACATGAAAGGTGGGGGATGATTAAAATTTTGATTAGGGTCCATATTTGAAAGATAGCAAAGTTTTTGGAGGAAGATAGAAATCTTGAAGAAAATAGGCAAAAAATTTTGGTGTCCAAATGAAGTAAATTTGGACTCTATTTATAGATCTCGGAAAAAGAAAAATTATGGTGATTTTTATTTTTTTTATTTGATCAATTTATTGGTAAAAAATACCATTTAAAAAAAGGGTGGAAATGAAAATCGCATTGCCCAACCAAAAGTTACCACATGTCGCATGTGCATCTCATCTCCTTTACTTTTTCTCCCGCGTATGAATTGTCTTCCAGCAACAAATAATTGAGGAGACTAAAGACACATGGCATAATTTGATTTGTTTTCCTTTCAATAATACCCTATTTATTCAATAATTCCCAAACAAAGCCACATCATTCTACCTTTCCAATTATCCATTGTTGGAGCCAATTATCCCTCCAATTATCCATTGCTGGAGTTGGTTTACACTACTCAAAATATCCCAAAGGGATAAAATTGTTCCATTGAAACAATTATCCCACTTAGCTCCAACTTGTCCCAACCAATACCCCCTTGAATGCAGCTAACTTACCCTCTTTCTATTAGGAAATTAGGCTAAAGCTCCCAGGAATTAAATTTCTTTCTGATTAAAACTTAAGGATATATCTTTCTAGTTTATAAGATTAGGCTCAATATTTAATAAATTAAACTTGTAAAGTTGATTTGAGTGGATGGTAAAGCATTAAATACCCATAATCTATAGAATTGCTTGCACTTATTAAATTTTTTTCAATGTCATGGATACATTTTTGCCTTTCGCATGGCTTCACTTCATGAAGAAATCCTCTCTCTTGAATTCAAATGGTAATGAGATCATGGGAGATTTAAATAGAAGAGAGTACCTTTTCATGCTTAAAAATAAACAACTTACTATTTGAAGTGTATGAATGTGATATCTTCTATGTTGAAGCAATCGACGTGAGTTTAGTAATACTGTGGGATATCGTTTTTAAAACCCATAACCATAAGAGACCAAACTCTACGACCATGTCCCTGTCGATTAACAAATCAATTGACTTTATAGATTGAAAGGGGAAAATATGAAGATAGTGGCATATCAAATTTAGTATCAAATAATTAAGTTTATATTTATGACCACTCACATGATAGCTATCACCTCAAATCAAATTTATAAGTTTAGTTCTTTCGATTAGGGGAGCAAAAGGATATGGATTTCAAAGACATGAGGTTTATAGTATAAAACGCCATAATACACACAAGATGAAGAAACTAATAATACAACCAACACTTAAATGTTTTTTCTAATAAAAAAAGTCTCACAATCATCAAGCATATAACGTTAGGATTGAAGCATCCTTGCCTCACATATCATATATGATCATTTATGTGCGAGCGCGTACACACATTAGTTTTTATGCACGCACAATGCATTTGGTTAAATACCAAAATTATTTAGTTTTTTATTTATTTCATTACCATAAATAGGTCAAATTCATTTTGAGTTTAAATTTGTAAAATTGGATTATTAGATTTGCTATAATTTTCATTTAAACATTATAAAAAAATCAATGTAATGGATTTTTATGCTAATCTGGGATCAATATACTTAATTGGTATATCTTAATTGATTCCCTAAGAAAAATAATCAATTGACACAAAAGTATATTCAAGTAGAATAGTAAAAAAAAAGTTAAGTTAATGCTACATGTCATATTCAAAACTCTACTAATCCTAAACTGTAATATGGAGTCAAGCATGAATAACAATATTATTATGAACTATAGTTCTAGTAATGAAGAAATGATATTTTTCTTATTGCATTGAAAACAGAAATGCGCAACATTTTGGGGCTTTATAAGCTCATGTTTTATAATAAAAATTTTCAAAAGCAAACATAAAAAAAGAAGTATGGCAAACATAATACGTATGAGATCTCAACCTACATTATTTGATAGACTTAAAATAATAAAAAGATAAAAACTAAAGATTAATGGTAACTATAATATAATTTTATATGAATAAAGAAATCACATAAGCATATAAAACTACTAAAAATTTTGCATGAAAATCCCTTATAAAAATCCCCTACTCAAAAAATTAAGTTATAATATAAAATATTATGTTATCATTTATTTTTTTTGTTTCATATTTTAATTGAACCGTTATCGATCTTTCTCCACCTTTATCTTCTTCTTGGGCAATTCTAGTGTAGCGT